TATCTTTCGAGCCCAGATCATTAAAACCCTGAACATTTCTCATCACCTTTTCCACTGATATTTTTGTGTGTGTGTCCCCTCTGCTGCCAGGAAAACTACACTTCTCCTCTCCGACTGCAACAACATAATTGGAAAAGCAGTAGCAGCAGAGAAACCTCCTGCAGCAGCAGCCAGCTGCTTGGATATGAGATCAGATGATATTCCAGGAGCTTAGTGTTGTTTGCAGCTTTCACGTGATGGACTGGGAAGTCAGCACGTTTGTTTCCAGAATGAGTTGCCCATTGTCAGCCCTGCAAACACAGCTCAGGGCTTCAAAGGATGCAACAAAAGACAAACAGGGTTGGATGAATATTTGGGAGGCTGGAAACAGGCAACGGGGCTCAATGGGTTTTGTAGGAGGTCATAATTGTCTGTGTGCATTTAAAAAAAGATCATCTAAGGGGGTAAACAATTGTCTGTGGGCATTTTAAAAAAGATAATCTAAGGGGGCAAAAGGGAATGGTTTTAGTTAGGGACACTTTTTCAGAAAAAAACCCCAAGCAAACCCAGAAAATTTAGCACAAACACCAAAGGAAACTTCCCCAGGATAAAATCCAAGTGGTTTTGTAAACTCTCCCCTCTGTACCTTCCTATGCCCAGTGCTTAAGTTGAGAGGCCACAAGAGCAGGCGGTGCAGCTGAGGTACCAAAGCCACCCTGAAATGAACAACTACCAACATTCAGTCCTCAAACCATGATCCAACAGCACCATCTAGTTAGCAAAGAGGGAACAGGAGCGGCTGCACCTCCTGCCCTCCCCAGCACCACCTCAACCCCCTGCACAAACACAGCGGGGGCAGCTTTTACCTCTTCTGTTCTCCAAATGGTTTCTGTCAAGACAGAATGGATTCGAGCAGGCACGTTGGCACATCAGGAGAAACAGAATCATAGAATGGAGTTTCCATCTGCTCCTCAGATCCCCACCAGCCCAGCAAACCAGATCAGAGGGAGCTACAGGAAGATCAGGCACCAAATCAATGGAGTGGAGAAACCCAGATGAGATCTGGGGACACAGAATCATAGAATAAGGCTGGAAGGCACCTTAAAGATCATCAAGTTCCAAGCTCCCTGCCATGAGCAGGGACACCTCGCACCAGACCAGGCTGCACACGAACCTCCCTGGGCAACCTGGATCAGTGCCTTCCTGCCCTCGTGGGGAAGAATTTCTTCCTCATGTCTAACCTAAACCTTCCCTCTTTCAGTTTAAAACCTATACCCCTTATCCTATCCCTGCCCTCTCTGGTGAAAAGCCCCTCCCCAGCTTTCCTGGAGCCCCTTCAGGCACTGGAAGCTGCTCTAAGGTCTCCCTGGAGCCTTCTCTTCTCCAGGCTGAACACCCCAACTCTCCCAGCCTGGCTCCAGAGCAGAGCTGCTCAAGCCCTCGGATCACTTTCCTGGCCCTTCTCTGGCCTCTCTCCACCATCTCCATGTCTCCTGTGCTGAGGGCTCCAGAGCTGGACACAGTTCTCCAGGTGGGATCTCACCAGAGCAGAGCAGAGGGGCAGAACCCCCTCCCTGGCCCTGCTGCCCACACTTCTGACACAGCCCAGGACATGCAGCCCTCAGGGCTCCAGCACTCACTGCTGCCTCATCTCCAGCTTCTCATCTCCTCCCACCCCTAAGTCCAGCTCTCCAGCCATTCAATGACTGCTACACAGATGCTGCACATACATAATGAATGGAACGTGATTCAGCAGGTTGGACAAAGTTTTATAAGAGCAGGAAACTAAAGGTGTTTCTACTATTTTAAGGAGGATTCATATTCTTCATGAACCTCAGCCAACAAAAGGAATATTCTGCCAGGCAAGCAGGCCTGGATTTCAGACAGTCCCAAACTTCAGAGAGGAAGACACTTCCCCCAAGGGTCTGATCAGACCTTCCCAGCTTTCTCAGTTTGGTGGGAAGAAGTGGCTGGTTTGTGGGACACCCTAACCCATTACAGAATGTCTTTGGCTGGAAGAAACCTCCAAGATCATCCAGTCCAGCCCTAGGCCTAACACCACAAGCTCCCCACTAAACCATGTCCCTAAGCACCAGGTCCACATGCCATTTAAATGCCTCCAGAGATGGTGACTCCACCACTGCCCTGGGCAAACTGTTCCAATGCCTGACAACCCTTTCAGAGAAAAAATGCTTCCTAATATCTAAGCTAAGCCTCCCCTAGCACAGCCTGCATCCATGCCCGCTGGTCCTACCACATGTCACCAGGGGGAAGAGCCCCAACCTCCTCTCAGGTAGTTGTAAAGAGCAATGAGGTCCCTCCCTCAGCCTCCTCTTCTCCAGACTAAACAAGCCCAGCTCCCCCAGCTGCTCCTCACAGGGTTTATGCTCTAAGCCCTTCACAAGCCTCGTTGCCCTTTTTGGGCCACACTCCAGTACTTCTATGTCCTTCTTGTAGTGAGGAGCCCAGAACTGAACACAACATTCCAGGTGTGGCCTCACCAGTGCTGAGAACAGGGGGATTCACCTCCCTATTCCTGCTGCTGGCCACAGTGTTCCTCTTACAAGCCAGGATGCCACTGGCCTTCTTGGCCACCTGCATGTCTAGTCGATTGTCAATCAATACCCCCAGGTCCTTTTCCAACCTGCTGCTTCCCAACCACACATCACCAAGTCTGTAGCCAACCACAGGGTTATTATGACCCAAGTGCAGGACCTTGTTGGCTTTGTTGAATCTCATACAATTAACCTTGGCCCACTGACCTAACCTGTCTAGGTCCTGCTATGGAGCCTCCCTACCCTCCAGCAGATCAACACACCCACCCAGCTTGGTGTCATCTGCAAATTCACTGAGGAATCATTCAATCCCCACATCCAGATCATCAATAAAGGTATTAAAGAGAACATAACCACTGGGCACAAAAGCTTCTGGAAGTATCTCAGTTTCAGAGCACAGAATTGCTGATTTTACCCTCCCACAGTCCCAATCCTATATTAGCACTTGGCCTGCAGATTGCAGAGATCATTATAAAGTCACTCAAGTCCTAGATAAGACCAGGTTTGTAAAACAGTCTTCCATGGTTTTAGTCCCTCAGGGACACTTCTTTTTTTCCTGCTGTATGTTTTGCTCATAACCTACCAGAATTATCATCACTTGTTGCCAAATTACAACAGGTGATCAAGCCCAAACAGGCAGCCAAGTGGTCAAGGCTTCCAAAGTCACTCATGACTTCAGGCAGCTTGATGCTCTGGGAGAAGCTGGACTCTTGAAGGCCTGAGTTGCAGCATCTTAAAACAGTCTGCCAAACTAAAAAACCCAGCATTCCTGGGAAAGGATATAGGGAGCAGAAACCTCCAATACTGAATTAACATGAAAAAAATGAGCTGTCATTGGAACTGAAGATGGAAGAGCTCAAAAAGAGCCTTTCCCAAACATTTCATACCTGTGTTTTTACCCTGCACTCCTCAGTGCCTCCTCACCAGCACCTCAAACTAGCTCAGGGATTAAGCTGTCTAGGTCCTGCTATGGAGCCTCCCTACCCTCCAGCAGATCAACACACCCACCCAGCTTGGTGTCATCTGCAAATTCACTGAGGAATCATTCAATCCCCACATCCAGATCATCAATAAAGGTATTAAAGAGAACATAACCACTGGGCACAAAAGCTTCTGGAAGTATCTCAGTTTCAGAGCACAGAATTGCTGATTTTACCCTCCCACAGTCCCAATCCTATATTAGCACTTGGCCTGCAGATTGCAGAGATCATTATAAAGTCACTCAAGTCCTAGATAAGACCAGGTTTGTAAAACAGTCTTCCATGGTTTTAGTCCCTCAGGGACACTTCTTTTTTTCCTGCTGTATGTTTTGCTCATAACCTACCAGAATTATCATCACTTGTTGCCAAATTACAACAGGTGATCAAGCCCAAACAGGCAGCCAAGTGGTCAAGGCTTCCAAAGTCACTCATGACTTCAGGCAGCTTGATGCTCTGGGAGAAGCTGGACTCTTGAAGGCCTGAGTTGCAGCATCTTAAAACAGTCTGCCAAACTAAAAAACCCAGCATTCCTGGGAAAGGATATAGGGAGCAGAAACCTCCAATACTGAATTAACATGAAAAAAATGAGCTGTCATTGGAACTGAAGATGGAAGAGCTCAAAAAGAGCCTTTCCCAAACATTTCATACCTGTGTTTTTACCCTGCACTCCTCAGTGCCTCCTCACCAGCACCTCAAACTAGCTCAGGGATTAAGAACCTTTTCCAAGATGGAAAAAGATGGATCAGAAAAGTCCACCTAAATGCTCTGTCTGTTGCTGCTGCTTCTAACATGAGCTCTGCAAGGCTGAAAAAGCAAGAGCTCTGCAGTTGTACAAGGAAGACACAGAAACAAGGGTGGTTCAACACTTTGCTTTTCGTTTGTGATCACTGCTAGACCCTTTCTAGACTCTTTGTAAGTGATCAAAACAACAAAACCCAGCCAAAAAAAACCCAACAAAGGAAACAAACACCCTATTTTCCCTTTCCCAACTACTGATTGTGGAAAAAAATAGAGTCAAAGAACTTCACAGACTCAGACCTGAATGCTGGGACATTCCCAGGTAAACATTTGGTGATATGAAAACACTTGACATGGTTAATTGCACCAAACATCCCTTCTTTTATGTTTTTTTTTAGACAAAAATGATTGCTGGGCAATCAAATGCTGCTCTTCAAATGTCCAAAAGACAGCTAAGGTGGAAATTATAAATATGAAGCTGTACAAATGCACAGTGTGTCCTACTACAGCAGGAGGAAGGGTGAAATCAGCAGATTTTGCTCTGGAAAATGAAAGAATAGGTTAAAGAGAAAAGGTTGAAGAGCAGGTAACAGTGTCAGGCAGCCAAATGGAGAAGAAAAGCAGCAGCACAATGCATCAAGGAGGAATGCTTGACCACAACTGGACAAAACACACACATTTGAGGCAGAGAAAAAGGTGACAGTTACAGTATTTAATATTCACAGTTGTTGGAAGTGAATCATCTTACCCTCTCTGTTGTCTTGGAAGATTTCTGTGATGCTTCATAATCTTTCTTTGTTTCTAGGAGTCTCTGTACCAGCCCACCTGGTGGAAAAATCAGTGTATGTCTCAGCATTGGTTGGCACTAAAAGGTTGCTTAAAACATCCAGACAATGAAATGAAAACAAAACTGCTTAATTTTTAAATTGAAACAATCCTTAGAGCAAGGTGAACAGCACCCTAGTATGCATTTTAATTACAGAGATACAAGGGGTTTGTTATTTGATCTGTTTTCTCCTCAAAATCAAACTGTAGCATCAGCAGCATTTACTGAGCAGCTCCTGGTACAGAACCAGATCCCTGAGCTGTCTGAACACAAAGGCTTTTCCCTTGCACCCCTCTTTTGGAAAAAGTCAAGAACTGCAGAGGACAGGTATGGATATATAGAGGGGTATTCCTTGGGGAGGAATTTCTGGATGCAGACAAGTCTATCTGCCTAAATCACACCCAGTGTAGACACCATGGAAGCCCCTGAATTGGAGATCTGAGGTTATGAGGAAGAATAAATGTGAAGAACCAGTTGTTCTAAAAGATTTCCTGGAACTTGCCTTGAACAGCCAATCCCATCTCCTATCTCAGAGCTGACAAGCTGGGCCAGACACTCTAGGATAAATACTCATTTGTGACTTTTAGGCAGAATTTTAAATCCTGCTGCCATTAAAGATGTGAATCTGTACTTGACATCAGTTGCAAATCCAAAAGAGGCTGGTTGATCAACCAAACCAGACTGCATTGGAGAAGTAAATTCTGGTTTTCCTGAAAAGGCCACAAGCCCCACTTCTCAGGAGGACATTTTGCTGCTTTATTCAGCTTTTTTTAAGTGTTCTGCAGCTGGTTCAACCCCTTGCTTTTATTCTGTATGTATGTATATATATGTAAAAGAAAACATACCATGCTTTTCATCCTCAACCAGCTCCACTTCTGGCTCCTACACAAGCAAGAAGAGACCTTTAGTTACAGTAACTTGACATTTCTATTACTATACAACCATTAAAAAATATTCAGCTAGAAGCTGCTGAAACAAGTAAGTGACAAAGTGTGGGAAAAAGGTTCTAAACTGTGCAAAATTCACAGACCATTTTCATCTCTGGCATTTCTGGCAGCACCACTGCTGCCTCCACCACAAACTCCTCATCCTCATCCTCAGAAACCTGCTGGTCCATGATCACGTTGGAGACTGTTTTGCCACTGCCACTCCTGCAAGAGATGCAACCAGATGAAACCTTCTCAAGATCTGCCCAAACCTTTTAAGGTCCATCTAGAAAATACAGCAGCTCTCTCCCTTCCTCCATAAAATACTCACTCTGTGTTTCACAGATAGATTCTAGTGGTAGTTTAATGTTCTGGGCCTGAGAACAGCCCTTGAGGAGAAGAACTTGGGGCTGCTGGGTGATGAGAAGCTCACCATGAGCTGGCCATGGGTTCTTGCAGCCCAGAAAATAACCATATCCTGGGCTGCAGCAAAAGAAGTGTGAGCAGCAGGTCAAGGGAGGGGATTCTCCCCTTCTGCTCTGCTCTGGTGAGACCTTCCTGGGGTACTGGGTCCAGTTCTGGGGTCCTCAACACAAGAACAACGTGGAGCTCCTGGAGCAAGTTCAGAGGAGGCCAGAGAGATGCTCAGAGAGCTGGAGCAGCTCTGCTCTGGAGCCAGGCTGAGAGAGTTGGGGTGTTCAGCCTGGAGAAGAGAAGGCTCCAGGGAGACCTTAGAGCACCTTCCAGTGCCTGAAGGGGCTCCAGGAAAGCTGGGGAGGGGCTTGGGACAAGGGCAGGGAGGGAGAAGACAAGAGGCCACAGCCCAGCCCACCAGGGGAGGTGCAGGGTGCTCCCTGGCCCAAGGGCAGCAGAAGGGCCCAGAGGGGTGATGATCCCCAGGAAAAGGTCCCCCCAACCTTCCTCCTTCTCCCCCGTGAGGCACCTCCCAGGCCACAGCCCCCCCAGAGACCCCCCCTCTGCAGGTAGAACTGGCCACACGC